GCCTTTCCCCACCAAACATTTTTCCTAGTTATTCGGGTGGATTCAGGCAGTGCCGCCTACATTGCATCAGCATCGTCGCCAGCACGCCCTGTAGCGTCTGACAACGACCGCGACGCTAGCACCAAGACGGACGCGTACCCACCAACGATGATGCCAAGCGCACGCTTTTTCCTCTAAGCGGTATTGGGTGACGTCACATATAAAAGTTCCAGGTCGAGCGAGCAGACGAAACAGTGCGTCGTCTGCTCGCTGCGTTTATTTAGGAGATGGTACCACGAATTACAGCCGCCGACGCTGACTCGGTCGTCTTCGATCACTGGCAAGTTTGTTGGTCTCGTTTTTTCACAGGAAGAAAGCTACGCCTTGAAATTTGACCAAATAAGATGCGCAACCTAAATTCACGCTCGGTTTTACCGTTAATTTATCCCGCTCGTTTTACAGAGCTGGTTTCATTGTGAAAACGCTATGTATACTATTTTAGCTTTTTCCAAATAAAACAGATATATCATAGCGCGAATTAAGATATGGCGGAGGAATAATGTAAAAGAAAAATAAGTCTAAACGAATTTAGAAAAAAAATTACTTAGAAAAGACGATAAAAGGACACTATAAACACGATAATGTAAGCGGTGAACAAGGTGCAACATAATAGAATACTTGCGTGTGAATAGACGCATCATAAAACCACAGAACTGTACTCTGTCGGAGAGGGATCATCCAAGGAAGCCTATACTTTGTCTCACCTTAGCATGGACTATTGTTAGCCGTGCATGCTCAAAGCGCGAGCGTTGCTTTGGATAAAGCCTCGGCGACTGCACGAGCGCTCGTGAAGCGAGTGCTCCAGTCAAGGCAGTCAAGGCTAGCCTCTCGCGCTTGCACAGCCTTCGCAGTTAGTCCATGGTAAGGTGAGACGAAGTATAGTTGAAAAACAGCTCGAACATCGTCTCGGACATATCACATGGGCACACACACATGCTGCACACGTACAAGCACGCCTTACACGAGCATGGAGCGCTTTTGAATCGCTTCAAATCTACCCAAGGAATTCTCCATAACATACGCGTCGGTTTGCATCGGTTACGCAATCAGTTGGGAATATTCTTGACCAGCTCTTGTGGCCCCTGAGACATCGGGATTATCTGAACTCGGACCATAGATATAGATCGTACCGACTGGTTTCGCTGCGGCGAGGACGGCGTGTGGCGATTACTTAGAACGCACGAAACTTCCCTAACATACGTGTTTTTTTTTTTAGGAACAAAATTGATTGATGGTACAGTGTTGTATTTGTATAGACACATTAGAAATTTTTATTCAAATTTTCACGTTGCCTGTCCATGCGATAAATTTTCACGTTGTCTGTCCATGCGATATTGAAACAAGCCCCCTTGTTTGTGGCAGTCACCAACCATAGCGGAGTGCCAATATAAGATATGGGCACGGCATGTATTTTTTCTTCCAAACAATGATGAAAACAAGCCCGGATCATGTGGTAACCGAGTTTCATTGTCATGGTTCGATTATTATTATTAAACTTTTTTAACTTGTTAATACTCAGGGAGGACCTCATAAATCTAACCCACATTGATGACCGCAAAAGTCGGCTTCTCAGCGTAGCGCGTTTCGATTTACAACATAGGTGCGGCTAGGTGGTGGAAGTAGGGTACAGAGATGTCACCTGAGACATCTCTGTACAGTTATGTTTTAAATGTATAAACAACAACGACATCAACAAGCATGAAGTCAAAATATAAATAAATAAACTTACCTCCCTAAAAAAAATTAAAAAAAAGAAAATAAAAAAAAAAAAAAACGAAGAAGAACTTGTTTTGGGCAACCTAAGGCTGCAGTTTAGTCGTCTCTAAACTGCTGCCTTAGGTTGCCACTTGTCCTCTGCCGACAGATGGCGGCACGAGAGAGAGCGACGCCGCGAACGATGATTCCGTAGAAGAAAGGGGGGGGGGGGGGGGGGGAGAGAGGGGGAGAGGGAGATATTTAGACGTTTGTTTTCGTATTTTGTTTATTACAAATATATATATATATATATATATATATATATATATATATATATACATATTGAAAATTGAAAATTGAAAATCATACAGCAGAGCAGGGATGCACAACATGCTGCCCGCGCACACGACACTATACGAGATGTGTTCTAGACGGCAACCAGTGCGATGATGCCAGATATTGAAAACCCGCGCAGTTCCCAATAAGCATTTTTTCGGGCCTCGTCAGTTTTGAGTTGTGCACACCCGCGTTAGAGATTGGCGCCGTGCCGAAGGAAGAGTAGTCAGAACTCTTGGAAGATCGTCCGCTAAGCTCGGTGCCGGCGTGCTCTCGTCGCTTCCGTTATCACTCGGCAGCATTTCGCGCACGAACTGCAATCCCCACGAAATGCTGCCGTAGATTGCCTGAAACCGGTTCTTCTTCTTTTTTGAATCTTTAAATGGCTAGTTCATTCGATGATATTGCGACTACTTCCTCCACCTAGCCGCGCCTCTGCAGTAAATTGCCGCAGATCACGTTAAGAAACCGATTTTTGCTGTCCGTGAGTTAGAACAGACTTGTACGTAATCCGTTACAAGCAAAGAAATTACTTGTAATTCCTTACATTTGTCAGTAATTTTATAAGGGAATAATTACATATTTGAGAAAATAATTGTAAACTAATTTCCTTACTTTTTTACGTAAGGGAATGATTCTAATCAGTTAAAGTTTTGTATTGATTCGCGGAGGAAAAATGCGAAAACTTTGATTAAAAATTAACAAAAAAATGTTTAAAAATATATATCTTTTTTTTTTTTTTTTGTAAGGGTGAGCTCTATCGGAATCACACTGTCACCTGCATTTACAAAACGTGAGGCCTGTCACTTTTTACATGGTCACGTCCCGTCAAATCAATTTTTTTTTATGTGTGTGTGTTGTTGTTGTTCGCCGGTCGTAACTCGTCAGCTTGCTCGCCCACAATAAAGTGGGAAGCACACTTATACAAAGAACCGGACTCTCCGTATAAACAATAGTAGGCAAACTCCCGAGTTCAAAGTGTGTCCTTTTAATAAAAAACAAATTTAAAAAAAGCGTCAAAATGCAGGCGAGCTGGTGTAGCAGATCTACGCTCGCCTTTTCGTTTTGTCTCTTCACTCTTTCTTTGCTTCCTTCTGGCCAAGAGAGAGAGAGAGAGTGAGAAGATAAGTCTTTTGTATCAACTCCAAGGCCCAAGATAATCGACGCCGAAGAAAAAAGCGAAGTTTGGTGGAGCCGTGGCTAGGACACAGCGTCTCAATGGGCCAACAGGATCTAGCTGATGTTTTGGGTGTCGAGCGGGTAAGGGAAGCCTTGCGAACGCGTCGTTTTCTAGACACTCAGTTGCGCGTCCAGGTGGCAGCAGCAATTTGGGAAAAAGCTAGATTCAAAAGGTCTTTAGTGCAGCGAACGGCATCTTCACATAGAAACGAGGCAACATGTCCGATGAGGCTTTTTCAGGGCCAGATGTTGTTCGAGGGCCAGATGTTGTTCACAAATATGTGAGCTGCGGCAACAATAAAACGCTTTCACAACACTTGCGTCTTGTTTCCTACCCTAGGACAGTAAGGTTGAAAGTAACGCCGCGAAAGTAACGGATGACTTCTTTAAGTAACGGCCACTTACTTTTTGTGGAAGTGCACTTGTAACTGTAATTCGTTACACTTAGCCGTGGGTAATTGTAAATGTAATTTTTTACTTTTTCTTTAAATAACGTGTACAAGTCTGAGTTAGAACACTACGGCCCTCGCGGTAGACTATTCGTTCTTGTACTAAAGAAGACAGCCCAAATTATCGATACAGTTCGACTGAAATGGTGCTAACGGAATCAATCCCGATAACAGTGTCAATCTTGATAAGCTGCTATGTGGAGGGCACATTTACCCCCGGGACTACCCATACAACAGCAGAACGCTAGCTCTGGTGTGGGCAAACATGAGGGTGTTTTTAACAAGCCTGGTTGTTGTCGTCATTCACGTCAAAGCCAACAGAATTCCTGCAGCGTGTAACAAAAAAAACAAAAACATATACAGGGTTTTATCTTTTTGCGCGTGTGTGTGTTTGCCCCGTCTTTTTTAGGTTAAAGGATAAGAGTATATGCGTTGTATACTTTTCAACGGGCGGAGGGGGAGTCAGGAATTTTCAAACCCCCGTGGCTCCCCATCCGTAGGGTGAATTTTCCTGGGAACATTCCTTTTCCCGGTTATCTTTCATTGTTCACGTGCAACAGCCGACGCGGAGAACGGGGGAGGTGCTCGCTCTATTCAATTTTCTGCCCGGTTGCTACAGTTTTTTTCCCTCTTTTTACTATATTTTTTTTTAAATTATAACCAACCCCTCAAGTAAAACCCAAGCACGAAAAAAGAAAAATCAAAAAGGAGAGGGGCCCGAAGCAGGTAAAGGAACACCCGGCCACACGGGCGCAAAAATTGGTACCGGATCTAAGGTTCCAGGGATTTTCCCGCCTCCTTCGTTGCTCACTGGACGCTCGGCTTATGCAACAACGTCCTCCCACTGACTCAAGCGCAAAGAACGCCGCGGCTGCTCGTCGAAAAAAAAAAAGAAGAAAGGTTACATCTAGCGCAAATCAGCGAGAAAACAAAAGAGAAAACGACCGAAGCAGGACCCCCCGCGAAAACTCCGTGAACGAACGTCGTCCTTGATGTAAACAACGAAACAAAACGCTCAACCTCCGCCCTCGCGCGCAACACTGACTGGTTTAGTCTCTGACCGAAGAACTCGGCAACAAAAACAAAACTAAAAGTGCGCACAATTCAAGCGAATACTTCAAGTTCACTGTTTGTCGGCCTCCCGCTCTTTTGGCTACAACCACCGGCGCGCGTCGTCTGCTAGGGCGTCGTCGGCGTCGTCTGCAAACCGGCGCCGACGAGGCGCCGACCAATCAGAGAGAAGAGTCGGATCACGTGACACGTTTCTCCTTCCACAAGTTGGTACGGCGGCGCTGTCGGCGCTTTTTGGGAGCGCGTCATGACGCGAACGCCTTTTGCTACCAGTCGGTGTCTGTGCGCTCCTCGGCTGTTGTGAGGCACCTTTGCTGCGTCTTGGCGTTGCCTATCGTGTCAGAAACGGTGTTTGGTGTCTGTGTGCACGTCGACACCGTCGTTCGACATCATCGGTGCTGTCGTCGCCTTGAAACCTCGGCACCCGCAAGGATTTTACCGATCACTTCGGATCCCTCGCCGCGCCGAAGTTCTTCGTGGTCGTCGTCTTGCCGCGTGTTTGTGTGTCGTGCCCGTCGAGAAACAGGACATGGCACGCTTCGCTTGGCTTCCGCTGTCGCTCGGATTGTTGCTGGCTTCCGTCACTGGTGAGTTATTTTATTTCGTCACTTCTGGGCACGTTGACTCGTGACGGCTGCGTGGAACGGATTCAACGCGAGCCGACGATCGGCACGGATCGGGTTGTCGCGAGTACGTCGACAAGGTCGCGGTGGTCGTGGTCATCTCAAAAACAGGCAGTGGGTTACGATGAGCGCGCCGCCGAAAACCTGTTTTCTGGTGTTTGTCCGATTGAGTCGGTTGGCGCGCCGCTATGCCTGCTTATTTCCCTCTTGGAGGTTTCGTTGACGTCTCGAAGTCCGGACTTTCGCGACGGTGTTTGGGGCGAGCTGGTTGCGTTTATTTTTGTCTGTCCCCTGTTGGAAGTGTGGGCATCACCTGTTTTGGGAAGGCCCGATGTTTGGGTTCGAACGTTTTGCACTATGTTGTCTGCATCATCGTTGCATCAGCGCTGACAGGCGCAGATGTTGTTGATTAGCCAACCGCGGAGCTCAGTGTCACGGACATCCAGAGTTTTCTCAGGTGGCCTTCGTTGTGCGAGTCGCCGGAATTCCAAGAATGGCGTCACCGCCGTACTGAGGTGTATACAAACAGCCGCCTAATTTTCCTTTGCACTGGCAAACCGTTTTCTTGTTGATATGGCAATGTCTCCAATACAAGTTTGTTTAACAAACCAGCTATCAGGTTAGTGTAATTAACGAACTCGTGTGTTCACGTTACCGTGTCCACGTCCCATAGACATAACCAGTACTTAATTTTAATTATCTACATCAAGGTCCCCGAAGGCATTGTATGAGGACATGGAAAGAATACGTAAAACAGATAGTTAACAGAAAAAAAAAAGAAAATGTTATATATAAACAAAACGAGAATACGAACGTCTCGCCCACATACAAGCAGTTATGATAGTTGCCCACCCACCTAAATAGCTGCAACAGATCAATAAATTAAGTCTTCGCATGTACCCTACAGTTCTCTACAATCTAAAGTGCCCACCGCAGTTTCAGGCACTAACTAGTACGTCATTCGGTTCATGAATAGCCGGATTTGTAGTCAAACTTATTTCACGTGAGTATCAGTCTACCAGTAGCGCGCTGTTCCGGATGTCTGTTGACCATACCAACGGATCAATAGCTGGAGTGCTGTCCATACGATGATGCACGAATAACTTGCTGGATTAACATTCTTTACATGAACCTTCCGGACATACGTAATGCGAGAAGCATGATTGCCCATCGAATGAAGCAGTGTTGGTTTATCATTCTTCAAATGTACTTTAGAGACGTGCGCAATGCAAGCTTGCTCATTCAATGATGCAGTGTTTTAACGTGCTTCAGAGCAACTTTTAGGATAGAAATGGTGCAAGGTTGTCAGCCGAACGAAGCAATGTTGGTGTAATTCTCCAGATGGACTTTGAGGAAGTCCGCAACGCAACCTAGTCCCAACGGTCGTCGGTGTCGTGTTTGCGGTTCGGCGCCCGGCCGTCAGCGTCCGCAGCTGTGACTGCTCGACGGTTGCTAGGGCGAGATCGGAAGCGTGCCAGGTAGGCGGAACTGGCCACGTTCGTATTCCGATACGGCCCCCCGCTACTTGTCACGCCTGGTTGCCCCCCCTCCTCCTGCGAGGACGCCGTGTCTGTGTGCGTTGGACGTTGAACTCTCAAAAAAAATTCAGACACGACCTTTTCCGCGCTCGTCTAGGTGCGCGTGGGAGGACGAGCTTTCTTGTTGTCCCGCTGTGGCGGAGTTGGGGGCGTCAGTTGAGATACCAAAGTTTCGTACAAGCTGTGGCAAACGCGCGAGTTTCTCGGTGTTCGTACAAGTTGTGGCAAACGCGCGAGTTCTTCGATGGTGTGAGGCGTTACGGACGCATGTGATCTAAGACCGCGGAAGAGCGGGCCCGGAGTTGAAAGTTTGCTCGAGTCAGTTGCCTGTCGGTGTTTCCCGCCGTCGGAAATCTATCTTGTGTTCTTGTTTATATATGGTCGAAGTATGTTGAAAAGGGACGCGAATGTTAACACCTTGTAGAGTAGTAAGACTAAGAGTGGAATTATATTGTATTAAAACACACACTCACACGCACACACACGCATGTTTGAAGTCTTTTTTTTTTTTTTCTGTTTAGCGAATTTAGTCATTGCTTGTTTGCCTGAAAGAGGCCAGTGCGTTCTCTATTTATCGTAATTTTCGCCAGCACCCAAATTTTTGCGAATTTCGCTCCTTGAAAAATATCGCGAAAAACAGATATTGCGAAAATATCACCCCGTGGTAATGATTTAGTGTCACAGCAGTCCAAATCGCGAAATATCGAGCCGCTGGAAATTGAAGTAGTATACTTTTATAGGACCGACCATGCCCATATGGCTAAGTTAGCCCATCTTGCACCCTGGTGTCTTACCACTGGGGACGATTGCGCTGACAACTACGAACTCTGGTGCGACTTTGTTGGCGCCATCCAGAAAGAATGCGTGCCCTGCTCGCGTAGTTCCACGCGAAGGAAGAGGTCCCCTTGGATCACCCCCGAAATCAAGAAAATGGCTGGCCAGAAACGAGCCCTCTTCAAACGTGCCGCTCGTACACAGTGCCAGATTTCACTTCAGAGTGCTAAAGATTTGCAGCGCTCAATCAAGTCTGCCATCTCTCGTGCTCACAGTGCTTACGCCCACACCATCTCTATGAAGGCAAAAAAGGACCCTAAGCTGTTCTGGCAGTATTTCAATGGGCTTCAGTCTAGCCGACAGCGTCCCTGTTTCTCCAGAGACCATCACCCCATCACGTCCCCCAGGGACGTAGCCCAACTCTTCGCTTCACAGTTCTCCTCTGCTTTCAGCCACAACTCCTCTACTCCAGATCCCGACCTTCTTGTGCAGACTATCGAAGCTTCCACCTCCCAACCTGTAACCTGCCTTCCAAATTTGTGCTTGTCCCTCGACGACCTGCACGAAGCTGCCCGACTGATCCGGCCCTCCCACTGTGCTGGGCCTGACCTGCTCGCCCCTACTTTCATCAAGTCCCTATTCCCTTACCTATCTTTCTCCTTGCTCTCACTTTTCCAATCCTTTCTCGACCACTCCTACGTGCCCTCCGCGTGGAAGAAGGCCCTTGTGACACCAGTTCACAAGGGTAAAGGGAAACCTCTCAACGACCCTTCCAGCTACAGGCCCATCTCTATTACTTCTATCCTCTGCCGCACTTTCGAACGCACCATCAACCAGCACCTTCTTCGCTTTCTGGACAACAACGGCCTTCTTTCTGCCTCCCAGCATGGTTTTAGGCCCAACCGAAGCTGTGAGTCAGCTCTCGCTACTATTGTTCACCACATAAGCAATAACCTGGATAACCGTTCCCAAACTGATATCATTCAACTAGACCTGTGCAACGCCTTTGATTCCCTCGATTACTCTATCCTCCTCCAGAAAATTGCACAATCCGGTATTCGTGGCCCCCTGCTGCTCTGGCTGAGCCGCTTTCTTATCGGTCGCTCCCACCGTGTATTGTTCCATGGGAAGGCCTCCGATGAGTTCGCTGTCACCTCAGGGGTACCCCAAGGCTCAGTACTGGGGCCCACATTATTCCTCTTGTATGTGAACGACATGCCTTCATCGCAAGATTGTCTGCTGGTGCAATATGCAGACGACACCACCATTCTGGCCCCAGCAGACGTACCCTCCTCCACGCCGGGTGTCCAGAGTCTCCTGGACCAGATTGACTGCTGGGCAAGAACGAACTGCCTCTCAATTAGCTTCCACAAAAGTGCTGCAATGCGAGTCTCCAACAGCCGTTCCACCGTTCCTCCCGCATACTACCTGTCAGGCTCTCCCATTCCTAGTGTTCAGTCTCTCCCAATCCTTGGGGTTGTGTTCAGTTCAACTCTGGACTTCTCACCTCAGATTGCAGACACTGTGTCCAGGGCCCGGCGGACTCTTGGCTTTGTCACACGTGTCTCAAGGAACTGGGGACATGAAACTTTCCGCGCTCTCTACACTGCCTTAGTCCTGCCTCGTCTGGAATACTGCTGCTCCGTGTGGGGACCCTTCCAGGCTCACCTCATCGACAGGCTGGAGGGCGTGCAGCGCCGGGCTACTCGAACACTTTATACTCGGATGTTGGGCCGGCAAGTTCCTGTGCCGCCATATGAAGCTCGCCTTAGGGCCCTTGGGTGGCAAAGCCTCTGCCACCGCCGGACAGTGGCTCGGGTTGGGCTCCTTTGTAGGTTGCTCGACGGGTCCATGAGTGATACCCACCTCCACTCATGCATCAGGATCGGGAAGCGATCCGGGCAGCCAGAACTCCTGCACGCCCGAACAGTGCGCCACTCGCACTCCGTACTCCCCGCCGCCCTCAGAGACTTTCTTGCGGCCCCCCTGTCGATTCGATCTCCACTCCCCAACAACCGTGACGAGTCCGCTGCCTTGCGCCGTGCATTTTCGCGGTCAAAGCACCTAAACTGATTCTACGCCATGATCATTGTTCGGTTTCATTTTGTTTTTATTCGTTCTCTGTTATTGTTGTTTGTTTTGTTATTTCATGCCCCGGGTGGTTGGCTGACAGGCACTCTAGTGTACGGGCTCTCGCCTTTCTGTCATCGCCTCGCAAGCCACCCGGGGTTACATTGCTCTTGCAAATAAAGATTATTATTATTATTATTATTATTATTACAGGAATAACTGAGAAGATGCAGGCGAGTTGGTGAACTTTCACAATTTATTCCCAAGTCTCAGAAAACGTTTACAATGGCATCGTTTTTTTGTGTTTTTTTTTTGTGTGTGTTTAGACACGCAATGTTGTCTAAGTGCCATCACGTCGCTTTCTTGAACCTGTTTCACGAGTCATCGCATACTGTGTATCAATGTTTTGGTAAAAAAATATTTATTACACCTCTCCATTCGTTGGGCTCTGTACGTACGTCGTGGTGATTGACACATACCTGGTCTGCGTGGATAAGGCGACCGCGAAGGGTCTCCGGGTCAATCACTCACACAGAAAAAGGAGATACTTATACGAACAGCGAGAATAAGATGGCGTTTGAC